ACAGATGCAGCATAATATTCAATTCTATCTCCAACATAAAAATAAATAGATATAATGAGCACAGAGTCTTATTTTTTTTTTGTCTATCCGCTCATGTTGATCATCACAAAGTAAAAAAGCATTATGTCGCACTCAATAGTGAATCATATCTCGAACAACTCATCATTTACTTATTTTGATTCTTTTTAGATGACTCAACCTCTCTCGTCTTCTATGACACTTTCAGCGTCGTCTCTCTCAACGGACATCTTTCGTCTAATTGCACCTCTTCGTCCCAATTGGTCTCCATCCAATACTTGTCTGTACCAATTTACTGATGGTATCACCAATACAATTTTTGGTCTTTTCGATAACTCAGATCGATCAGAAGCACTCGTTATTAAGATATTCGGATTAAAAACAGAAGAATTCATTGATCGTGATGCCGAGATAAACACTCTATGTATTCTTTCGCAGCATAAACTTGCTCAACCCGTTCTTCTTCGATTCACCAATGGAATTATCTATAAATTTGCTCCGGGTGAAATTTGTACAAGGGATGACATCAGAAACATGATGATTGTTTCACTAATTGCTCGTCAAATGGCCAAACTTCATTCATTGCCAATTGAACATATGAATCAAAAACCATGTCTCGTTCCATTAATGCGAAAATTCTTGATATTGATTGACAATGATAATGGTCGACTAGAAGGTAAATAAATAATTATAACTAAGGAGAGTGATGCATCTCAAAGTGTAAAAGACTTTAACAGATGATGTCATCAATAGTTCTTAAAACAGATCCTATTGAAGTTTTCTTTCGCTCAGATCTATTCTAGGATTAGTCTCTTTATTGTAGACTTGACCTCTCTTTCATCTGACGTCGATTGGATAGAACGAGACGTGTTACCTCGACTTATTCCTAATCCTCAATATGGTATTGATTTGGTTTTATGTCACAACGATGTTCTCTGTAAAAATGTTCTTTACAATTCATTATCACATTCAATTTCGTTCATCGATTTCGAATATTCTGCAATCAACTTTGCTCTATTCGATATAGCTAATCATTTTGTCGAATATGCAGGCGTCGATCAAATCGATTTCGATCGATATCCAACGAGAGATGAACAATGTCGCTGGCTTAAAATTTATTTCGAAGAACGAGGCTTGAGATTTGACAATCAAGAGAAGATATGTCATCTCATCGATCAGTTTTCTGCCTTATCTCACTTGTGCTATGGACTTTGGGGACTTGTTCAAGTTCATTTTGCTAAACTTGACTATGACTATGCCTCCTACGCACGACGTCGCCTCAACAGATTCAGAAAACTTAAATCACTTTTCTTCAATCAGTCATAATAGGAGTGATTTTTGTCAGTTTTTTATCAGAACTTTTTTGGCTTCTTTGATCGCTATTGATTTATTTCATGTAATGCGCGTTTATTGCAACAGTAGTTATGATTTCCCTACGGCACACAGACAAAAATTGGGCAATTGAAATAAAACAGAAGATTTTAACGTACAATTGTGGCAGAGAAAGGAAAGAGTTATTGACACTAATTTCAAAAAATTGTTATTTCGTGCTGTTAAAATTTTATTAAAAAAAAATACTCATCGAGTCAAGATTTTGACAATGAATGACACATATTCACATTAATCACATATCAAATGTAAAATATTTTTATGTCAAAATGATATATATTCAAAACTTTATAAACCTTTGAAATTGTCATTCTATTCGTAAGGATAATTGGCAAAAACTACCTATATTCACTATCGGATGGGTGTGGAAGCATCCCTTATCTCTTCCACACTCACATCCTACATCCACACCCAGATAGTAAAATTAAATATAGATCACGTCCTCACTCTTCCTCTCACATTAACTTTTGCTCTGATATTACCCTTCCTCTCTCATTCTCATCTTCATCTCGGTCCTCACTGTTAGTCTCAAGGGAAAAGTGAGACTTCAGCGCTCCGAACTATCGCTTTTCTCCCTTGGGTAATCCCCTCAATGTTTCGAGAGCAACTGCCTGGAGTACAAAAGTCATGTTACCACTCTGAGTACTAAATGAAAATCAAAATTGTTTATATACTTTTGAAATATTTCTATTTCTCTCTATCTCTTTCAAAGTCACCAATACATGATTATGCCACTTTCCAACAATAAAACTCTTGTATTTTTTTTTCATCTTTTCGTATTTTAATTCTAACTGAAACAAATCAAAGTAAAACAAAGTAAATGGTTCAGAAATGTGTTGATGTCTAAAATTTAAATGGTCGTTTACAATTGACGTTTTTCTTCGACAAAAATTTTGTTGTCTTTGTTGTTGATGATGGTAAAAAAGTAAAATCACTTAATAGTCGATGATTATTATCTATCCATTGAAGCCAATCAGGTAGATAACGTTTTAAAATAGCTAAAAGCATTAAACAATCATCTTCAGCACGATGATATGTTAAAATTGGTATTCGATTAAGCTCTCGTTCATATATTTTCAATAGTTTCATTGATGGTAATTGTCGAGCAAGATTTGATTTTATAGGTATGTCAACATATTTACGACGATTTATTGAAACAACATTCGATAAAGATAAATCACTAGATGCATTAATATTATCTATATGTTTCTTATCAAGAATATTTTCATCACTAATTAATCGATATATTTCACGAAAGAAATTAATTGAATCAACACAAGCTATTGATATTAATGATGAATCTATTTGATTTATTGAAGTAGAATCATTAGTACGAAGAGCAGTTTGAATTTCATTAAAAAATATAGGAAAATCAAATCTATTCCCATTATGAGCTAAAAAAAAAGAGAAAAGACAAATAATCAATAAAATAATTTTCGTTTTTTTTTATTTACCAACAAAACATAATAGTTTTTGAAAATCATTTAAAAAATGTTCGATTGCAATTACTGTTTGATGATTAAATGATGCATAATTTTTTAACATATGATTATCCAAATCTAAAATAAATTCTTAATAGACATTATTTCTTTGATTAGATATTTACTAGATAATTCTGTTGCTTTAGAACGAATTGTTTTTCTTGGATCAAAAAATTTAACAAGTTTATTCTAATTAAACAAAAAAGAAAACCTATTAAAATCTGAAACAATTTTTTTAATATTTTATGATATTTACTAATACTCGTGGTAATTCTTCATCAGATTTCATTTCATCTAATGTTGAACTATCAGAAATTTTTCTTTTTTTTTTTTTAGGAATAAAAAAAAATCAAAACTTACATATGAACAGCAATTATAGCTAATTCAGTTATTTTTGGTTCATCATAAACTAATCCACTTGTTTCAAGATCAAGAATAACTAATGTTTTAAATTTTGATTTACTATTCATTTTATTATCTAAGACGAAGATCTGATCTTAAAAAAAGAAGATATGAAAGTTTTTACCACACAATACGGTTTTGACAGACTAACACTGACCAGTAATTATGCAACGGAAACTACCATTATCGACTAGTTACACTGTTAGATGACGAAAAATTTATAAATTTAATATGTCGTTAGGAAACGACTATTTTATGAAAATATCTTTTTTTCATAAAGTTCGATGGAAGGGCTTTGAAGTCAAAGAATCTTAATCCATATGTTGCTTACTGAAGGAAAATCAAACCCTCTAATTTCGAAAAATGTATCATCTATTTGAATTCCTCGACTCCAAAATCCTTCGATTAAACTTTATGAAAAAATGATATTTTCGCAAAATAGCCGTTCTCTGACGAAATATCAAATTCATACATTTTTCCTTACCTAACGCTGTAACTCGATGGTAACAATAGCTTCTCTTGCATAATTGATGTCACTATCAGATGCTATCGGTCTTGTGGCATGCCCAAATTAATTTAATTTTGGATCTGACCTGAACAGTGAATAGCATATCCCGCACTTTTCTCAGACAATCTTGATGAGGATCTTATAAAAATTAGAGTATAATTGACTTTTTAATTTAAAGTAGCACACGTAGCATTAATTCTGGATTAGATAAATAGAAAATTTTCCTGTCCGAATCCAAACAGGTTCTAGTAACATCATCAATTTCATGTAAATACTTGTACAAAATCGTCTTTCTTTCTTTTTTTGAAAAAGCACAACTCAATTTCAAGTTGTCTATTTTTTTAAACCCAGCAAATGAAACATAAATAATGGCACTATTTATTTTTCATGCTCTTCTCAGCTAGCTTCAGAAGACATCACTTTTAAGTCTTTACAAAATGACATTAGAACTTTTAATCTAAACTTCCAATTTGAAAAATTGACTGATTAATACTACCCTCTTGCAATATATGCAATTTTCTACCATAAAAAATAGTTGTTTTGGTTTTGTTATTCGTTGGAACTTTACAATAACATCCGTCACTCAAAAAAAGAATACTATTGTCGAAAACTTACTAAAGTCATGATTGTGAAGTAGCAGCTTTTGGAACATTTGTCAGACACTTTGGTAAAAGCCCACCAAAACTCAATCTTTTGAGTTTAAATTTCAATAGTTTGAATAGAAATGAATGGTACATTATATTAAATGCTTCGAATGAGAGAACAACTCTGTATTCATTAGCAAAATGAACATAATTTTGTCTGCTTTCGACTTAATTTCAAGCAGTTTGTCTTTGTGTTATAACGCTTGGTTGAAATGAACTACACTATATATCACAAGAAAAAAATTCTCTAGAAAGTTGTACATATTAAAGCAGCGCAATATTATTTGATTACGCTTTTTCAATTGAAAGTTTAGATTAAATATTCTTATGTAATTTCGTAGATAATTGAAAAAGGCTAATAAACAATTTAAAGAAAAGTTTCAATAAGTCTTTTATATAATCGAAATTATTCTTCATTCTTCGTATTTTCTTATAATAAATCTAATGAACAAATATACACACACACACATACAAAAAAAATCCAAAAACCACCGGGAAAACAAGCTATCGAACAAAAGTAAATATGAAACAAACAAAACAAAACAAAATAACATAAATCTAAAATTGATTCCATTTACATTGAAGTAAACGAAAAAGTATCACCGTTCGTTTGATCTGTTGAATATAATTTGGTACATTAGAAATATCTGTCAAAGTTATGTAAATCAAATTAAGTTGATCACGTAACGTTGATATCATTTGTTCAGTAAAAGAATTCATGTAAATACAATCTTTTATATCTATATAAAACAAAACAAAAAGAAACAAATTTATATTTATATCATATCATCTAATATGTAACACACTAATTATTAGGTCAGCATAAGTATTGAATAGACTTCGAATGAGTAATAATGTCATGTCATCGATTGGCTAAAAATGAGAAAATATAAATCTGAATTTTTTTACAAAAAATTCTAAGATCAAATAAACAACAACGATAAATTTCATTGCAAACATATATTCTACGATTTCTACTATAGGACAGGATATTGACAGGAAAATTGAACAAAAAATTTTTAAATTAAAATTTTTGTCTTTAAGTATGCATCCTAATGTGAAGAATACCTAAAAAGTTTCAATAAAAATGGTAGCTTTCCTTTTCTTTTGTCAAATATTCAACATTCAAAAAATTTCGATATTTCTGAAATGTAATCCATTGTTGAAAATTGAATATCTAAGGAAATTCGAAATCAATCCAAGACCATCATAGTCTTTCTCATATGTTCGTCATTGTAGGAATTCCTAATTGATATAGTTCTATGAAATCTATTATTTTTTTCTTTCTTTGAATTACTTACATGTCGTAATCTTATTTCAGTCTGTAAATAAAAAATAAAAATGAATATTTGAATCTTTGTAAAAAATCAATGAAAGTTTTCTTACTTCAATATAATCAAAAAAGTCGTTTATATGATCTTTTGAAATAAATTTAATGTGAAATTTCTTCCATATTAATTCATTGATTAATAATAAACGAATATCAGATAATAAATTTTCATCAAATAAAAATAAATGTAAATATGTTGGATGTTCTTCACATAATTTTGCTAAGAATAAAGCCATCTTAAAAGAAAAAAAAAAACCGAGTAATCATTTGAAAAATTCTTCTTCTATTTAAAAACTTACTTGTTGTATATGTTTTTCTTTGTCATTTACAAATAAAAGACATAATTCCATTACATTTAAACATATTGAAATTCGTTCATGATTTAAACTAAATAAAATTATTAAAATTTTTTTTTTTTTTTTTTGTGTAAATGAATTTTTTTACTTATTTATTTTTAAAATAATATGTTGAAGAAAATTTTCAATCGATTGAAATATTTGATTATCATTTAAATAAAAAACTTCTTTTTTATTTTGACATTTATTTCTATGTATTTCAATTAATTCAATAAAATAAATAATTAATTTAATATGAAAAAATTTATTTTTTTTAATAATTTTATTTTGTTGAAGAAATTGATTAAAATAATCATCTTCAATTAATTTTGAACGATAAATTTTTTTATTATATATTTCACATAAATCATATTCAATTAAATCAAATAATAAATCAAATAAAATATTTCTAATAGATATATATTGATAACATTGTAAACAATTATTATTATCATTATTATTTTTATGATTATATGTTGGTAATTCAATTAATAAATAACGTAAATGAGATGTTAAACCATATTGAAAAAATGAAAGTTCATCTTGATCATAATTTAAATTTCGAATAATAAACATTTTTAAGAAATTTAATATTATTATTGAAATAAATGATGGATCAATAGAATATGATAATATATTATCACAATATTCATATTTAAAACAATTATTTGAATGAAATTCATTTTTTAGTTGAATAATTTCTTGATGACATATTGAAATATGTTCAAGTAAAAGTAATTCAACATTAACTAACCATTTAATACGCATTTCTGATGAATCAACAGCATGATCGAGAAGTTTTTCACGAGTATGAGTATTATTAGGAATTGAATAACTAAATAAACAAAAAAAAAAGCAACAGATAATTTTACTTATTCAAGATTTCGATTGTTATACAAAATTTATTGTAGACATTAAAATCTTGTCTTATAAAACTGTTCTCTATGTCATGTATTTATTCTAGTGGCCGACTCGGGTCACGAAAATTTGACCCATGCCAGACATTGGTCTATTCATAAACGTTGTACGCTCATAGACCATTAGAATCTTAACAAACTCGTCGAATAGAATTTACTAAAATGGAAGGATAAACACTATGTTTTAAACGGGCCCCAAAATCAGTTCTCTTTTTGAAGGCCACGTTGAGTCAAAAATAGCTTATGCTTACCAAGGCTAGCCTCTACTCTGTTAGAACTCGCCCAACTCAGCTCAGAATGGTACTATGAAAAGTATATTTCTTTCACAAACAAGGATTTCTACAAGATGGAACTTCACAATTTATTAACATAAGCTTTCATGAGTAAAATACATCCCTGGTCAATTTCAAAGAATTAGATCAGTTACTTGTATGTAGATGAGCAATGTCATTGAACCGAATCAATGCTCTGCTTTTATTTATTGACTAGATGAAACTTCCAAAACGATCACATTATAAAGATTCTTGATTATTACCATTTACGAGGTAAAAAACCCATGTAAGAAATTTCGATGAGAAATTAGAATGAAATCCATCAAGAAAAAAGTCTGTGCTGCACACAGCCAGACAGAAGTTTATAACTGTTTGACTTGGAAAAAAAGTTTCTCTAGATCGAGCAGGGCATTTCAAATCTTGATTATAAAGAACCTACCTATTACAATGAATCTCACACTTAGAACGGCTCGTTTTGGGGTGAAGTTTCCATGAACGAATGATCCTAGTGAGAAACACTTTGAGTAAAAATTTCAGCCTTATATGTCATACTAGACAAAATTTTCAGTTTATTAATAGTTCATTTATGGTTTCTAGATGAATCCTTAAAGCTTCGTCAAGAAAAAAGATACAGAACTCGGAGTGATTTCATATTAAAGTCGACGCCTATGCACAATTTTTGTCCAAACAGAATTTTAAAATTTGTTTTCATTTAATTTATATAAACGTGTTACAATAAGTATAAAAGATGACTGCAAAACAGTAAATCTTGCTTTTTTTTTGAGCATAAAAATCATATATAAAAAAAATCTGATTGCACAAAACTTTTCTCTCATTTAGAGCTTCAAAACAAAAAAATTATTGGTTATGTTAAATTGTGAACGAAAAGTTCTATTTTTTCTAATTGAAAAACACGTTTCGCAAAAAAAAATGATAAATAAGTTTAAACATAAATTGGATTATTCAAATCTTTTAGACTTCTCCGCAATATATATGTCAATCTTATAGCCAGTGTTAAGGACAACTGAAAAACTTTAAAAAGAAAGCGCGAAAATTTCTTGGAAAACATAATAGTGAAGCCCAAGACTTCTCCAATTAGTTTGTCAATATTGAGTTATGTTGCAAAAAACTATACATATTCTGAAAGAGAAGACTTCAATGGGTTTGTTTATGATATAAACTCGATTTCGATTTTTGTCGAAAAATGAGATTTTCTAAGAAGTATCGAATTCATCGTCGTATCTTTGAAGTGACTTATAAATACACAAATGTGAATATCGACTTTTAACTCATCATCAATTTTGCGTTGAAACTATGTGCATTATATGTAGATTCTAATGAGCGATAAATACTCTGAAACGAGTTTGGATACTTAGCTTATTGCTGTGGAGATATTGCATTTTTAGAGTTTCTATGTCGTGATTCTACTCGAAAACATCAAGAAAACTGATTTTTGAAACTTTGTATTCAGACAAACTAGTATACGAAAGATTTTCTGTCAATATTTCAATTTGCTAATATCATTCGAGTAGTGAAATCCTAAAAATTTACCGTTCTTCTTCAATTAATTGTATGTCATCATCTTTAGCATCATTCTCCTTATTATCATTATTATTATTATTCTTATCATTATCATCGTCGTCTAGTACAATACATCCATCAAAATAATTTGCTGATCTTTGTTTTGTTTTATTAATCGATGATTTCATTCGATCAGTTCGTTGTTTGACGACTGGAAAATATTGAATATTATCATTTTTTGATGAATGTTTAGTAACTTTAAAATAATCTAGAATAGTTTTACCAGTATGTTCCATGACTAATTTGTTTTTACTTTTTGATGATGAACGTGTTTTAATTCGTAAATTATGATTTAATTTATTATCCAAACGTTTTATTTTCGTCGTATTTTTTACAATAGATAAATCTGTTGACTAAATAGAAAAATAAAGATTGTTTTATTCTTCTTTTTTGTGTGTGTATAATCTGATTGAAATGAATTACTTTAGAAGTTTTTATAACATTTATTGGAAGTTTTTTTTTTTGAATACAATCTAGATTTGAATTATTTGTTAATGTTTTGTGAAAATTATTTAATATTTGTTCAAGTAAATTCATATGTTTATATCCTTAAAAAAAAATAGAAATTTTAGTTAGTTTAATAAAAATTTCTTAAAAATTTACGAGCATGAGCATTTTCATTAATTGTTTGATTATTTGACAAGATACAATTTTGTTTATCAAATGGATGAATAATTTTTTCATTTGTTTGCAATAATGGTAATGATAATTGTGATTTAAACTTTTTTTTTGATTGTTCATTGTTATTATTATTATTTTGTTGTCGTAATTGATTAGAAATTTTCTTTTTTCTATTATAATTTGTTTGACATTTATCATATTGTTGTGATATATTATTTAATGGAATTGTTTGAGTTGATTTTGAAGCATTTAATGTTATTTTAGCAATAATTTCTTCTAGATTTTTCTTTTCATTCTTGTGTTGAACTTGTTTATGATTATTATCAGATAGTAGATCTGTTTGACCATCTAATTGTAAACGATTAAAATCATTATCATCATATATCATTGGTTCACTTTTTATTGAACGTTGAATAAATGTAACAAGAACATCTTCGGCTTGACTTGCAGGTAATTCTAGAATAAAAAAAATATCAAAGGTTTCAATTTGACAATGATAAATATTAGAAGTCTAATGAAGGAAAATCTTCAAGCATTAATCAAAGTTATAATCGATAACGGCAAACGTCCAACTCGGTAGAGGATCTTTTATCGGCCGGTAAACATAACTTTTGCTCTACCGCCTATTGTAATTTTTCTGAGCTTTTGCATATTTTTTTTCTTTTTACAAATCAAATACGTTTCACTGGTTTACAAGACTAAGTATGTAAGAGAAGATGTATTAAGTTATATTATCAAAACAAAACTGAATAATTAATTAACATTGTAGTTTAGAGTAGATTTACTTATATTTTCTCTTACTGTTTATAGGATATATTTCGCATAGATATATGAGAGATAACAAAGCGCATAGAATGTGGAAAGCAGATTAAATAGACAAGTAATAAATAACGTCCGTATTTTACGAACTATTAATGAATATGGACAGGTAATATACAACTTGTAGTTCTATGAAGTTTTCTATTCAGTCATAGATACAGAGAGACAAAGAAAAACTTGCGAAAATAATTAATAGCAAGCACAAATAAAAAATGACTCGTTCCAGTATACTGGCCCCATCCAATCCTGTCTGACCGTGTCAAACGCTGATGTTAGCCATCAATCAAACTTATTTTTCGTTCGTATTACTGTTTTTTCGACCTGTGATATGTTATTTTCAGAAGCATAGAATGAAAGAATATTAACTTGAAAGTTTGCCCATAAACACGTTACTTACAGCAGATAAATTGTTCTTAAAGTTCGAATAATAACAAATGATCCTTTCTAAAGATATTGGATGCTGAAAACGATTTGATTTTCTCGTCTGTTTATAAAAAAATAATGATAATTTTTTTCTATTCAATGTCTCTAGAGGGGATCATCCGTTGTCAATGAAAATTTTTGGACGGTTTATTGGCTGTGAAGCGCCTATTGATAGACAAAGTGAGAGATCGAAAAACCAGTAAAATATTCATAACCTCCTCGAAAGACTTCCTATAAAAGTGAATTCTTTTACAGTTCTTTTAATCTCACCAAGCTCTACATATGAACAAAATATGAACTCGATCAATGATTAATACTTCGGAACCTGCCCTCGTAAATCCCATAAAGAATCAAAACAAATTCTTAACGAAATATTCAAATGCATCCTTGTTTTTAAACACTTAGTATTCTATCATATTACTGAAGATTAGTGAAAGTACAGCAGGCAATATTAATCACGGATATATCAGTACAGAAAGATTGGCTACAAGGATTAATTAGTATAACGATCATCATATCGGTAGTGTTCATCATCAAGAAAAACCAGTGTATAGATGGAGTTTATTGAATGTGTAAAACTCATGAAATAGAAAAAAGAATCAGAATAAAATATTATAAAATGAGGCGATCAACATTTGTCAGAATGCTCAAATAATAAGTAGAAATAAGATTCAATAAACAGTGTTTCATAGAAAATTAATTAGTTCAATTGTATGCATCAATAACTAATGTTTAGATCAAACTAAAACTTTTGAGTACTTATTATCATCGAATTTTATATATAAATACATTGTCATAGATTATTGCTCTTATGTAATAGGCTCACTGATTTTTCTTGATACTAAGAATTTCTTAAGAAACTTACAGGAAGCGAATTTGAACAAGACTTTTCTATTTTGTTTTGATCCTGGTCATTTACAAACCAAGAGAGGGAACTGGTAGTAGCAACCAGAAGTAGGCAGAGGATAGGAAGCACTGACCCACTCTGTGGTCTTATTTACTTTATTGTGAGACAAATGAAGCGATACGATAGTGAATAAATGAACTATCAATTTAAAGTATAGGACTAACCTATTCAATTAAATCGAAGATCGGTTCCATCTCATTTAACAATCCAATGAAAATATTTTTCATTTTTCTGACTTCAAAATCTTTCCTTTCAAAAATTATGAAGAATTCTATTGATACAATTGTATAACATATTAAGCTTACCTTTTGATAAATCCATAGGATTAACATTAGTATTTTCATCATTAATTTTTTGTACATCCATTCTCGTCTCTTCTTCTTCATCATCATCGTTATCATCATTTTCAATTATTGGTTGAAGGTTATTAGGTTCCCATTCTGCAAGTCTATTAAGATAATCATCATCATCATCATCACCAGCAGCAGCAGCAGCAGCATTGATTGGTGACTTTGGTAAAGATATTTTGTCAATATCATCTTCCAATGATTCAGATAAGATACTTTCATCATCATCATCATCATCATTATTATTATTATTATCGACTGAATTTACTTTTTTTGGAAGAATTTTTAATAATGATCGAGAAATTTTCGCCTTATTTGATAGTTTTTCAGGAAGAATTGATTTAAAATAAAAACTTGTTCGCATTGAATTACTTTTAAAACGACATTCAAGAAGATAAAAAATTCGTTCTGAATTTAAACATATATTAGATAATAAACAACAATCATCATATGTTAATGGTTGGGAAGTCATTGTTGAATATTGATCTACTAAAATAAATAAATAAATTTTATATTAATCAATTTGTTTGCCAAATATTTACTCATTCGAGTTAAGAAACCGATCAATTAATTTGTTTCTAAGATATTAACATCATTTCTAAAAAAAAACAAATCAAGATAATATGTTTTAATACTATCGAACCCGTTCCAAGTCATTATAACTAATACCATAAAAAAAAATGGTTTTATATTCCACTAGCTAATCCTCTTCTCATGGAAAATAAAAGACTTATACAAATACAATAACGATGATGGTACGTTGAGCTCCCTTCGAAGGATTAGAACCATCTATGATTAACATTGGAAGCATATATCCATTTTCAACTTTGGATCGAAACTAAATTTTCTCCCACAAATTTTTGGTATGTCTTAAGTAGATGTTCCACCTTGTGATACGATATTGTATTGACAGATAAAGCATTTTTTCATAATGGTGAACTCCCAACTTTAATGTTACTATGCAGTCCGCATATAACACCTGCTTATAAGAAATACCCAATTTCTAAGAAAACACTCAACATATTTTTTTATTAATTTTAGATCAAACAAAAAACAAGTCTGGTTTTTGAACGTTTTGTATCGTGATTTTAAATCTGAAGGTAGAACTTAGTTGTTAAAAGAAGACGACTCGTACATTTAGAGAATGAAGTCTATCATAATAATTACAAAAAAGTATTTTCCTACAGTCTTTTACTACACTGATTTTTTCTTTTTGATTCAAAGTTGATAGAAAATCAAATGTTTGCTCTCGATTTTTTTTAATAAAAAAAAAACACCTGATTTCAGTTGTCTCCTTCTTCCTTCTGAGTCATTGATTCTTACTAAACACTCCTGGATACGCGGTCGTAGAAAGTGAATCAAAGATGTCAGCCAAAGAATTGTGACTCATTTCATATAGACCAAATGAACCAATAAAAGTCGACTCCGTATTTTACCACAATCAGTCTATTTTTTCCTTGTAAATGACAGCTGTATTATGTGACTATTGTTCACATGCTTTTTTCATCAATATTTTTTCCTCAAAATTTTGAATCTCCTTTTCGTTTGTAGTCATAGATACATGTACAGAATGAGCACAGTATCTATAATCATATATGTATAGAGAACAAAAGAAAAAATATTAAGTCGATAAGAAACAACACTAATGAACAGAAGTTAACTGTGCATGAACTTTACCATCGATACTGCCGAAGATGATACGGCACTATTGGTACTCATTTTTGTGATATAAATATAAGTAAAATTTATCTTTATAAAGATAATTTAATATTATTATTTTTTATGCAATGTTAATACTCAAATATCCAGAACAGAGGTCCAGCCAGGCCACGTTTTGGAGGCCTGAACAAAGTATGTCAACTTTTTCAAGCGAATAAAATAATTATGACAGACTAAAAATCAGAGCTCCTAAGAGAGAACTGGGGCTACTATCCTACCCGGGCTTGACCTGCTTGTCATAGGCACTAGCCACGATTTTCAGACCAGTGTAAGTCACAGACCGAGCCAGGCCGACAGGCTAACAACCTTCTTGGACCTGTGATTGACACTGGTCTGAAAATTGTGGCTCGTGCCTATGACAAGCAGGTCAGGGGCGTGGTAGGATAGTAGCCCTAGTGCTCTCTTTGAACCTCTGGTTTCTAGTCTGTCATCATTATTCTATTTGCTTGAAAAAGTTGACAGGCCGTCCAGACCCCCAAAACGTGGACTAGTTGGACCTCTGATCCGGAATACGAACAGGATCTTAATACAAAAGTTTTTCAAACCTTACCGCGGCACATGATCAGTTGTAAATAATGAAAATGTAAGTTCAATAATAAAATAATTCAATGAAAGGAAGACAATGAGCGAACTTTTAATAGCTACATTCTTTGTATGAAAAGAATGAAACAATCACAAATAAGATTAACAGATCCCGTCCAATGTCCAGATCTGATATGAAAAAAAAAGGATAAGAGGGACGGTGTGCAATGACATTATAGTATACACATGTTTTCTCATTTCTTTGGAGTGTGTTATGGTCATCTATTGCGGACAAATAAAAATCTTTGTCGGTAGATGCCGTATTTAAAGATCGAATAAATTATTTTGTTTTGTTTTTTATTCTTAAAAAAAAAGAATGGCTACTACCAAACGAGTGAGCGACTTGAAAATTTTGGTTTTTTTCTTTTTTTATTAATAATCAATTTAAGAAATATACAATAATTGCACAAAGTGAACTTGATCATGAAAATCCAATAAACAATGAAAAAAAAAATCAAGATCATTTAAAAAAATCTAAAGAAAAAAATAAATCAAAAATAACTTTGTCACGTTGGCCTGGTGATGTATCAAATACATTTCAACGTTATATAAATAAAAATAAATTAAAAACAGATCGTAAGTTTTTTTTTTAGTTTATCATAGAAATAAAGAATCTTTTTATTTTGATATATCTTCAATAGCTAATTTAAGTTTTTATCAATTACCTGATGAAATTATTTTAACAATTCTTGCGTATTTAAATAAAGCATCTCTTGTTGCTTTTATACAAACTTGTCGAAGATATCGAGCAATAGGGTATAATATTTAATTGATTTCTTTAACAAAAAGAAAATCTATTTTAGATATTATCCACCTTTATGGCGTCGTATTGATATGTCTTATAAACGTATTGACAGTGAACAAGTAAATAGTCTTTTACAACGTGGTACAATTACATTAAAAATGTATCAAACAACAGTAAGACATTTTTTTCTTCAATATTGAATACATTTATAGAAACTTCGAATTTAATAAACATTGAATTTTATGATGAATGAATTAGATTTAATAGTAATTTTTTGACTGTGTTCAATCCTAAAAAGAATCTTGATTTAAAAAATCCGAGACAAAAAATCAATTTCACGACCAACGAAAGTTAGTGATTAAATCTAGTTTTTTAAAACACTCTATTGACCAAATTTATACCGCTAAAGTTTTTATTAATGAGACTCATAAGTAAAATTTCTATTGACTCGATTCAATTCTAAATTAATATCGATGTACATTTGAAAAATCCAGTTGACCAGACCAAAGCTCAAAAGTTCCATTGGTTCGATTCTATTCCGAAAAAAAAACAATTAACCCTGACACGATTACTTGAGGTTCGCTCGGACCCAATAAGATTCATTGTTGTCATGTTAAAGTTAACCAAGTTTGGAAACAATAACATTTTATTGATATCGTTTTTTCAGATTGAAGATTCAAATTTAACTTATATTGAACCATCTGCGTATGTATCAGTATTTGTTAGATATCTTTGAAAATCATAAAAATTATCTTTTTTTTTTATTCAGTTTGTGTCATCTTGATTTAACATCAGCCATTCTTTCACCTGAACTTCTTATTAATTTACTTAATTCATGTCGTTCATTACGTAAACTAAGCTTAGAATCTATGCCATTGAATTATAAAATCATCGAGTAAAATTCGCCTTTTTTATTTTAATACACAAAACAGAATGAATTTTTTTTTCTTATAGAAAAATTGTTTTAAATGAACAACTTGATACACTTAATCTTGCGATGTGTACAGGTTTAACATTGGAATGTTGTCAATTAATAACCAATAAACTTTCATTGTATGTCAATAATTATCCTTTTTTTTCTTATTTATATATTTAAATAATTATAGATTACGTTGTTTAAATATTGCTTGGACTGAATTAACTTCTGAAAGTATTCAACATATATGTGAAACAATTCCTCGTTGTATTGAACAATTGAATATCAGTGGACAACGTTATAATTTAACAGATGATTGTAAATAAATGAATTTTCCTTTTTTTTTTTAATTTTTATGAAACACGATCTAAAACAAATGTTGAAGCATAGAGATAAAAAACCTGAACTATCCACGGACTTGGACAGTTGCTAGTCGGAGATCATCATAGACCATGAGGGACGCTAATCAGTAGAGAGCTGCGGGTCCTTCCAAACCCGAAGCGGTTGGGTCCAAAGTTTTATTTTTTTTTTGTTTTTGGGTCCGGATCCACAAAAACGTGGATCCGCAGTTCCCTACTAATCAGAGATCATCACAGATCGTATATCAATAACGTCTTGTAATAATATATGAACTACTTTCCAATTGGATGTTTGGAGTATTAAGTAAAACGATGGTGAAAAGAATGTGTTTCAAAATTTTTCTCATTATAGCTATTCAATTATTGGTACGTCGTGCACTTCGTTTACGTGTTCTTGATATAAGTGATTCAGCATTAATAACTGATCAATCAATAATTTCACTTCGTCAACATTCACGTTTACTTGCACATTTATCGGCATCACGTTGTTATTTAATTACACTATCAGCACTCATGTAAATTTCTTTTCTTTTTTTTTGACATGAACGCAAAAAAAAAAAAAAACATGTTTTTTATTTTTTAGTACATTAAAATTATTACCAGCTTTTACAACATTGGATATGTTTGGTACATTAACACAAATGCCATTACAACAATTACATAATGAATTTGGTACACGAATTCATTTAAATATGTTTCCATTTTCAAATATTGCTCGACCAACAACAGGAATACAACGTACATCTATTTGGGGTTTACGTACGCGATTGTAATTGTTTTATGTCAGATAAACAAGTATAGTAAAAGAAATGTTAGATATTTTTTGTTTTTTGTTATATGAACATGTGCTGTTTTAAAACAATGTTATGTTTTCTTTTTCGTTTTTTTTTCTTTTGTCTTCGAAACTTATATATGCTAGAAATAAAAAAAAAAGCAACATAGAATATTTTATTTTATATGAAAACAATATTTGATATAAATAATAACGTTTAGAAATATTAAAATATGGAACCATCGAAAGTTAAAGAACGTTATCAAGCATTAAAACATCAAGGACCCTCACGATCTTTAACTCGTTGTAATTCAACGGATCTTATTCCACAAGTTATTTCACAGTAAGTTGCATTATTTATATTCAAAAATAAAAGACAGTATTGTAGTGACATTTAATGAAGTTACTTAAATCTTCTTCTTTGTGATAGTGAGAAATTAGTTCTAAGATCAGTAAGCATTCTTGTCTGATACTTTATGAAAGACTCCGGAATATGGTAGAAACTTAGAAGGATAATTATGAGGAACCTGTCAGACAATTGGCTCTGCTTGGTAATAACCGTTTCCTACTGGAGCATAAAAATCCAGCTATCAGATTCGAATATCGTATTCCTCATTCCAGCTTCCTACTATTTTCCAGGCGAAATCGACTGTACATCATTTACTTAGGTACTTAAAACATATCAAAAGTAATGAGATTTTGATGATAAAAATAAATACAGAAAGATGTGAATCAAAGATTTTATAGCAGTAAATATTATTTTTACTCAATAGATTTTAAGAGTCTTGGTTACAACAGTGTAGGAATTCGAAGTTTTATTGATAAATTAGATTTTATTTGAATAGATCGCATAATCAAAATTACCATAGAACAAAGTCTGGATAATTAGATGATTATTGAAAAATTTCAATAAGTTTCGATTTGAATTAATTATACAAATCTTTATGAATATTTGATTTGATATTATCTGAATTAAATTCTAATCTTCACTTTTTTGGTATATTAACAACGGATTATAAACGATTATTAATTTCATATTAGTGATCAATAGTCTATTCTCATTTCATATAATGAATGAACATAAAATCTATTCTCTCGAAAATGTTATAGAACAATGTTTTTTCAAAACGAAACTACGTAGTCTACGTTTAGAGAATAGAGTCTCATGGTTTATTTTTCAGATAGGATTTGACAACTTACAACCAATATATATATGTTCAAGCTGTCACTCGTTACCACATCATATAATCGCTATCAGAGATACGTGGAGCTGTCTTACCCTTATTCACTTCGTACGACTTTGCCGTTTTTTTTTGCGCTTGATGAGCGTAAAATCATTTCTTCAGTATTCTCGAAACCAGTCTCGAGCCATAAGATGATGCAATATGCTTTCTGTAGAGATTTGCTCAACGCCGCATAGGCGCGGAACAGTCCTCATGGATCTATGTCGCGATACTCTTTGTTCAAATTTCGCTAAAGCTTCTTAACTTACTCACAATACTTTGAGTATCAGATCGTTTGTAAGGTTCAAAACAGATTCCTTCAATAGTACCGTTTGAATTCGTCAATATGAGATAAAGATCATCACTAATAAGTCAACAAATCTCATTGATATTTTCAGATGATGTCTTAGTTACAAATTCGACAAAACATGTCCAGTTAACTAATAAGTAGATCATTTTGTTTCAATATTGAGAAAATTAATTAAGAAATAACGAAATTTATATACAAAACTTAATTTTCATAATTTAGAAATCAAATCAATTTACATAGTAATATATGTCCAAAAGCACCTGGAGTTTTATTCGATAGTCGAACTACATATTTTAATGGTATTAATGATGATCAAGATCGACCATTATCAGCACGAGTTTCTTCAGCAAGTATTACACGACAATTATCTAATGTGTCTCTTAATGATCCAGTATGTCAAAATAAAAATTAATTTTGTTTTTTTTTTTTTTGCTTTTTTAAACAAAAATTCTTTATTTTATTTAGAAACAATCAGTAACAATGAATACTCCACTTCATATAAGATTTCGTCCAATTGATTTATCTTCAATTATACCAATGAAAGATAATAAAATGAGAATATATTCTAATTTGACAAACTCAAAACATACAGGTTAATATTCTTCGTGTCTTAACTCATTATGTTTATTTATTCTTTTATTTAATAGATTATTTTAATTTATTATCGGATGAATTAATTCTAACAATTTTAAGATATCTTCCTCGTACATCATTAGCTTCTATGGCTCAAGTTTGTCGTCGATTACGTTCTCTAACGTAGGTTTTAGAAACAAAAAAAATCATAAAAATAATAAGGAGAAGATATTTTTTCGTTTTTAAACTATTCTATAGTTACGATCCAAGTTTATGGTGTCGTGTAGATATGTCTCGAAAACAAATTGAAAGTTGTTATTTACGTGATGTTCTTTTACGTGGCACAATTATTCTTAAAATGTATCAAACTACAGTTAGTTTATTTGTATTATTTTCTTTTTGTATTATTATTAAAGGATCTTGTTGAATAAGATGACTACCTTTCATTTGCAAAGTTACCTATATTGTTTTCTGGAGCAACACGTGTATTATCAAATGGTATATAGGAAATAGCTTTTTCATCAAGTTTTTATACTCTCAGAAGTACTATTTAAGAGATATTTCAGCAATTATAGGTAATATGACCAAATGTTTAGGACTCAATATGTGTCCAAATCAACGTATATCAAATTTTGTTTAAAGTTACTTCAATAGAATTTTGTTCGGTCTTGAATCGTGCATATCTAATAATAGTCACAATAGCGTTCTTCGTACTGAAAGCCTTAGAACTTTCACTAGTTTCTCAAATGTTGGCTTTTATGATATCTTATATTATTCCATACTGCTACTGAGGGCAAAGACTACCAATCGTTCAACTTTCTCAGGAATGATGTGCCACCAAGCTTCATAAGTATACCGATTGATTATCCTCTGAATCGATGTGTGTCATGATCCAATCGGCAAATCAATGTCCGAAAAAAAGGGGAATTTCGTAATGAATACTTTTCGATTGAAAAAGTTTCTCTCTGTTAAGAATAAGTCCATCATATTCTATTATTTAACATCAATGGATCTTTCGAAAATGGCAAAAAAGTTTTTCGCTTTCAGACCCTCCCCTGAAGGAGGATACGAGTATATGTGAAAATTTTAATTCTAATAAGAAACAAAACATATATTGAATCTAACAGATCTCTCCATACTTTAATCGTATCCGGCTACTCAAAATCTAAATTCATAAGAAACAAAATAAATCAAAAACTAATCTTTGTAATAGTTCATTCCCGTACTCCTCTTCAGGGTTCTGAAAGCGAAAACTGTTTTTTTGCCATTTTCGAAAGATGCGTTTATGTTAAAGGGTAAGGCATAATGAATCTATTATTAATAGATAGACAATTTTTCACTCAAAAAGTATTTATCGCAAAATATGTGTACTTTTCTGTCCTTAGAAATCGAAAAATTGGTCTGTTTTAGAGGCATCAATTCACCGGTTCGACAATAACGTACTTCATTTCAGAGGATAATCAGTTGGTATACTTACAGAACATAGTGACACACAATTTTTTAAAACGTTGCACGGTTAACCACTTTTACTCTCAGGAATAATATCGAACAATTTAAAACATCATAAAAGTCAAAAATTACGGAAACTAGTAAATATGCTAAGGTTTTGAGTACGAAGAAAGCTATTGAATAGCAATTTTCTATATACATTCGATGCGTCACGAGTTGCTCTAGAAAAAGATATAGGTGACTTTTCAAATGAAGAATGATCATCTTATCCAACAGGGTTCTTTTAATATATTTATATGATTTAGGTTTTTGGAAATTCGATTTATTCACCTAATCGAAATACATGGTATATTTTATATTTGTTCTTTGTGATTTTTATTAGTTTGAATTTTTCGTTTTGTTTTATAGGTTTACAAAACTTCAATTTCTTGATTTAACTCTTGCAACAATCTCGTCTGATTGCTTATTAAGTTTAATAAGTGCTTGTCGATCACTTCGAAAACTTAGTCTTGAAACATTACCATTGAATTTATCGATTTTCGAGTAAGTTTATATTATTTAAAAAATCGATATTTAAGAAGATGATTAAGTTTCGTGTAATATTCATAAATAAGAAAATATTCTTGTTGAAGATTTTCTATCAACTATTGTATATAATAATCATATCGTATAATGAAAATTGCTTTGTTTCTGTACGAATTTTAAATTAATTTCTATGCATTTAATCAAAGAATATTTATTTTAATTTAGAAAATTATCACTAAATTCACAACTTGATACATTAAATCTAACTATGTGTACTGGTATTGATCTTGATTGTTGTTCAATATTAACCAGTCAAATGAAACAGTATTTAAACAAAAAATAAATAAATAAATAAATAATTGTTTGTAAATTTATTTTCTAGTTTACGTTATTTAAACTTGGGTTGGACACAATTAAGTGATCAATGTGTTCATTATATATGTCGAACAATTCAATCAAGTATTGAACAATTAACAATAACTGGTTTTCGACAAGGAATGACTGATGAATGTATGAATTTTAGATTTAAAACATTATTTAATAGTTGTAAAATGAAAACTTTAACAAAACAATCTAAAATAACTGAAAACTACCCATGCGATTCAAATCGAACAAAAAAACGTCGGTATATTAGTAGTGTGGATTGCCGATCAGAGAACAAGTATTGGTATACCGCGATAGAATGATGGTTAGGTAATTAAATGTCAAACCACCGCCGATTGATTGTCGGTATATTGTCCGGTTTAAGTCACATTAACATTCTACTGCGGTATAACAAAAGTTGTGTTCTCACTGGCAATGTACTGCAAGTGTACTGACGGTAGTGCGAACAAACGTGCGACATGGATAGAAAGAAGCAAGTTTATAAAACGAAAATTTATCTTATTTGATGCTTTCGACTAACAAAGGATTTTTTACAATGTCTAAGATGCAAAGAAAGATCAATAATAATGAAAAAGAGAAGAACACGAAAGTGTTTTATCTAGATTTTCTCTTTCGGAGAGATGATTTAAAACTTCGAAAAGTTGAACAACTATTTTTGAGAGCACGAGTACATGGTACAATACTCACAGTCTTTATGAGGATCGACTTCACCTTTGAAGGAGTGCCACCCGAAATGCATAATCTGCCCAAGTGCGTGAATACGTGTTCGAAGAAATTTTTCCTTTTTAAGACAGATTCTGTACGTCTGAATGCCGCTTCCTCAGTCTTCACATTAAATAATACACTGAAACATCAAAGTGAAGCTAAACGATTAATGAGTTAATGTCTAAGATCAATGGTAGAATGATTTCAGATCCTTAAATTAATCATTGTTCATCACTCGAAGACAAAAAAAAACGACATTCGTAGTAATCATTCTGTTGCTTGTTAAATTCGATAAAATTGTTGTTTCTTAACTTTAGAAACTGTATAAAAAAATCTTTTTTAGGTGTTGAAAATTTAACACGTCGTGCTGTTCGTCTTCGTGTTCTTGATTTAAGTGATTCAAGTTTAATAACTGATAAATCAGTAACAAGTGTTCTACATAATTGTCTCTATTTAGAACATATAGCATTTTCACGTTGTTATGCTATAGCACCAATTGCTTATGCGTATGTATTTATTTAAATCAATATTATATATATATATATAAAATCTTTATAATTAGATCATTAAAACAATTACGTCAACTTGTTTCATTGGATATATTTGGTGTTGTTGATGAACGTGGTTTACAAAAATTACATTCCTTACTTGGTTCATCTATTAATTTAAATCAACAGCGTTTTTCTTATGTTGCTCGACCAACTTATGGTTTACGTCGAACATCAATATGGGGATTACGAACACGTCCTTAAAGATTATTGAATGAATTTGTTTTCCAGTGTGTGTGTGTGTGTTTTGTAGTTGAATTTTAATTGAAATGAATTTGTTTCTTTCTTTTGTTTTTTCTTTTTTGTATAATAGTTCTTTTGTTTTTTTTATAGATAATGTCAACAACTTCAGATGTAAAACATGAAATTCCTGGTCAATGGCTGGTAATTAATTAAAATGGAATAGAGGATTTTTTTTTCTTTGTACCATTTTATTTTTGTAGATTAGACCATGTGAAGAATATAATGACGAATTAAATTATTGTCGCAGTCAGTTCTTTTTTTTTCCCAAGTAACTATTCTTCTATTTTATTTTTATTGGATTAGGTTGGCGAGGTCGATTGTATCAACGATATATGTTAGGTCAAAAAAAAGATTGTACACCAATAGCTGAAGCATTACATAGTTGTATGTTTTGGTTACAACGAAAAGATGTTCAAGAATTAGTAAAATAAATTTCTGTTTCTTTTTTTTTTTTTGTCGCAAAAATATCTTTTTTGTTTTCTTTGATTTAATAGAAAAAATTAATATCTTATGAAGAAGATCGTTTGATTCGACGTAAATTATCATCTGAAAATAATGATGTATGGCAAGTAAGAACTCAACCGCCAAGTGATTGGAATGCACCATTACCAGATTGGGCTCGTCAACGAGCAGAATCAATTGGAAAACAGAAACAAACATAGACAAAATAAATTTATTTTCTTTTTTTGTGATCCGATGTTTGCTGTTTTTTGGTTTTCAAAACATGATAAGTTTAGATGTATGATAACAATATCACTTATTTGTATTACATTAATTGAAATTGTATGTTATTGTATTGAGTAAATTAGATATGAAGTTCAAAGATTTATATGAGTTATAGATTCTTGTTCGTTTTCTGATGTTTCAAAATCATTTGAAGGAATTATGATTAATTCTTTACTGTCTGATATTAATCTAGTAGAGTTATCGTTGAATGGTCGAATGACAAATAGTCGCCGTGCGGGAAACTAGAATTGCCAAAAAAAAATTTTATATTTTGTTATTTTATCTGTATAAAGCTGAAAATCTACTTCCCATGAATTATTTTTTGAAAAATGAGTCGTCGCATAGGATGATATGTAGTTAGACATGTGCAAAGGTAGCTATTTTCAGATTGAAGTTATGACTTTTATTTCCGAAATCTTTAGTATTCATGTTCTTTTTATAATATGGAAACGTTGGTTCGAAATCGCACAGTCCTATTGTTGAGATCTCACGCCCAGAAGGAAGATCGCAACAGAAGCTGCAAGTTCCTCTCTTTTATTGTTTAGAAATTATTTAACAATGGTGGCCAACGAATTGATTGTACTCTCGAACATGTACTTATGCTAGAATCTATACTTTACTCAATGATTTCATTGTAACTTTGTACATAGAATATATTCAATTAATTAAAAGTCTCATCAGTAAATTTCATATTCTATCATACCTTTACGACATCTATAAAATTAACTTTTCATTGGTTTATATAAAATAGTCAATCATAATAGAGGTAATTACCAAAATTTTCTTCTATTTAGATTTCGCTTTTGTTTTTCATTATTTAATCTGTTTCATTCTCATGGGTACAGATAATAAAACATTTGTGCAACAACCATCGTCAAAAGTTACAGTTGTAATGTCAAAAAATGATAGAACGAAAAAATCAAGTAGTCATTATAAATCTAAACATAATAATCAACGACGTTCATCATCAACATTATCCAATTCATCAACTGAACATGGACGTAATTCAACATCAAGAAAAAAACATGAGATTAATAATTCATCAGAAAAAAATTCCAAAAGTAAAATGAAACTTTCATCAACTGTTGAATTATGTAATAATAATAATAATAATGCTAAATCATCAAACGAAAATAAAAAACAATCAAATCGTTCTAAGCACAATTCATCAGAATCTCCATATCAACGAAATAATAATATAAAAAAATTACGAAGTCGATCAAAATCTCAATCATCTCGAAGTCGATCCAATGAAAGGTTAGTCATTTATTTAAACAATTATTTCTTTCATTAATAAATGCAATAATATGATGAAGTTTCAAGAGATAGGGACATATGACATTACAATATGATTTCATTATCTCTACTGATTATTGCAAATATTTCATTAGACATTTATCTAAAAACATCAATATTAAAAGCGAGTGCTACAAAGTTGAAGTCTCAAGTCCAAGAAAACTGGCATTATGACAATGCCATTTTACATAAGCCAGTAAAGCGAGATGAAAAACTATCGTGAAATTTAATGCAGAAATAATAACGAAAAGTTTAAAAACAATGTATTTTCAATTTTCTTTTTTTTGCTATAATGTTAAGCATCTAGCTCAAACTCAAATATTGATTTTAGTAGTCAATTGAATTTTCTATCTAATGCATTCTATACTAAGGCTTCATCAATGAACAATGATGAAACTTTAGTATAGAATGCATTAGGTAAAATACTTCATTAACTGTTAAAATCGTTATCTGGATTTGAGCTTAGTGCTTAATATTATAGAAAAAATATATTGTTCCTAAACTTTTTTCTACTATCCTAAATCATTTAATAATCTTTTCCAACTGTCGAAATGATTATCTTGCGTTTATTTTCATCGAAAATATAAACTGATAGTATTTCGAATGAGATTGCTTTCGATTAAAGCAATTCTATCGTAGTTTTTCTACAACAAAAATAATTCGAATATCTTAAAATCAAAAAAGTTTTTATTGAATTAATCAATTCCATTCTTTACATATGGTGTATGAGATTACAGGCAAAACTTACTAGAAAATATATCCAATTGTCGAACACCGTTTGATTCCATATTTTAGCTATGAGTAGTAGGGAGCTGCGGGTCCACCAAAAAATAAAAGGTTGGACTCGAACCCGCAGCTCTCTAATGAGTAGGAATCAGTGAAACAAGAAAAAAACCTTAAAAAGGTTCGAGCCTATGTAGAGTTGCAACCGTTTTAGTAAGCGTATGGTTTCTGGACGGGCTATGGATTGGAAAACTCAACCATGAGATTTTTACTCATAGATTAGTCTCACGATCACTAGAATATTCTAAAAATTTCAGCACAAACGAATGTGTAAATAGCTAGCCGAAAGGTTGAAAACCTACTAAAATCATCGTGAGCCTGTACCATTTTAGGATCTTTTTTTGTTTTCGTTTCATTTAGATCTCCACCTCGTCATCGTTATCCAAATCCATCGAGGTTACACAATCGAGGTGGTCGTATGCTTTATAATCCACCACCAATGACGACTAATTCGTCTATACGAAATAATAATAATAGTAATCGTCGTTCTAATGATAATAGTTCACCACAATTATTACTTGGTGGTTATCGCCCTCCTTTATCAAATTTTCATGATCATAATAGTTCAATAAATAATGCTACTTATCTACATAATGTTCATAATATGGCAAATATGATACAAAATATGAGTAATCTAATGCAGCAAAAACAAAAATCAAATTCAAATATAAAATATTCAAATGCAAATAATCCAAATAATCATTTTTATCAACAATTTCGAAATAATTATAAAAAATTAAAATCTGGAAAAAAAATAAGCAATTTATATCAAGCATCATTTCCTGCTCAACATATTCCACGTGAAATGAATTTTAATTTTCGTTTACTTGGACGAAATATATTCACAGCATCGGATGATGATGATGATGATGAACATGAACATGATTCAACAACATCAGAAAAACATTCAAAACAAAAACAACGACATCATTCAACTTCACAATCATCTAATAGTTCTGAAGATGAACGTCGTGAAGAAGAAGAAGAAGCTACAGTTGCTGCTATTGCAGCTGGTAAATCAAAATCTTCACCTATACTTAAAAATTCTATTAAACAAAAACGTTCTCCAACTAAATCTAATCGAAATCATACATCATCTTCAATAAAAACAATATCTAATCCACGTGAATTATTAACTAATCCAAACAATTTAAGTACATTACTTGCTGGTATTATACAAAGTGAAAATTCCGAAATAATTGCTAATACATTAGCCAGTGCAGCTGCTATTGTTAATAATAAACGAGAACGAACAAAAAAATATTTAGATAAAAAAGTACAAAAATTTAAAAACTATGCAAGACTTCAACAAACGCAAAGTATTGGAACTACAGATGCATCAACAACAAATCCGGATGAAATCAAAAAGAAAATTGATGGTCTTGCAAGACGATTAGTAAGTGTCCTATGTTTTTTTTTTCATATGATTGAATATTTTTGTTATAATTATCGATTAAAAAATTAACTAAATGTAGAAAGAAAGAAATTAGGCGCATAGAAGTTTTATCATTAGACAAAGAAGAATTATAACTGTCACAAGATTTAAAAGATTAGGAAAAATTAGCTAATATTCAATCAATTGATTGAATAAGACAAACGGAATCGGGACCTTCTTGCTCACATCTAAATCGAGCTATGCTAGATAAGAATCGAAATCTTCCTTTTTTAATATTATACAAGGATCGGTTGTTAGTTTATATCTAGTGGCGAAGTCAGAGAACGGCAGAAGAGAGCTGAGTGCCACTTAGGATTGTAACGATCTATTATTAATATTAAAAAAAATATACCCATTTTTAGCTTCAGACGAAGACTCACTCTCCGACTCATAGAAGTTTTTCTCATTGCAACATTACTTAAATCTGTTAACTTTCAAATTCGAGTTAGTACACGTTTCATATTAGATTTTTTATGAAACACGATCTAAAAGAAATATTAAAGTATAGCAGTAAAAATCTCGACCCAGTCACCCTGCCCACAGACCGCGACAGACATTGTTGATGTACGATCAAAGACCAAATATTAGCAACATCTCGTTCTGATGTGTGAATTATTGTCAGATTTTGTTTTTAAAAATTCCAGCCACCATTTTTTGAATAATTTCTAATCGTTTATAGCTATCAAAGTCGAATTTTCGCCGTTGGATAGAGCAATGTTGGAGGCATCTAACTGCGTAACATTTATTAAGTTCGAAGAGTGTTATATTCGTTGTATAATTGTTCAACTTTTTCATCTTTACCTTGGACTCCTGCTTCAAGAGAAGTGTTCTGAGATCTAGCAATTTTAAGAGTAATGCGGTTGCCTTAGGACTGCATTCTGGAGTTATTTGAGCAGAAGTTGCTACGAAAAGTTGTTGCAATGGACCAAAAAAACGAATTTCCGAACGTAATGAATGTTACACAGATAGATGCTTCCAACATAGCTCTAATCCGACTTCGATAGCTATAAATGATCGGAAGTTATTCAAAAAATGATGGTTGACATTTAAAAACAAATCCGATCATAGTTTCTTATTGCATTTCTGATATGATAAAGAAATGTGTCTCAATAAAACTATCTTCCTACAATTAGCAATAGCAGCTACATCATGTTTCACATTTTAATTTCGCTAACAGTTTTTTTATTATTGTGTTGAGCATCTATCTGAATACCATTTATTTAAACAACTCATCGATTATATAATTATTTTTATTTAGCGAATGAAAACTGTTGGTTTACATGAAGATTATGAATTACAAGGTATGAAACATTCCGATGATTCAAGTGTAGATTCCGATACAAGTGAACGTCATCATCGTCATCATTCATCAGGTTCTACTAGTGAACGTTCAAAAGATAAAGATATTGATAGTGATACAAG